GAGAAAAAAATAACTCCTGGAAAACTTTAAGATTAGAGAAAAGGATTTACTTTGGGACGTTTATTTCTGACTATTTTTTCTTACTTTTATTCGTATTTTTTTATCTATTTTTTTTTAGGTGAATTACTTTTATCTTGTTTACATATCACATCGGAAGTTTTAAAATATGGCATAAAGGTCTTAAGAGGTTGTCAAATGGTAGTTAAATACTCTATAGCTCTTAAGACAATGGTTATAAATAGAGATTTGTGTCAAACTGGTCTTAGAATATGAATAAAAATACCTCACTAGCCACGCTAATAAAATGGTGCCAATGTACCCAAAACCATTCTTTTCGCAATATGGCAGTCGCTTATGAACTCACTGAATGGCAGGTGGGAGAATTTGCTTTTTGAACAGCAAGCTATAAGGTTGAGTTATTTTAAAAGACATTCACATTCATCGATATGATCACTTTGTGTGATCGCCATTCTACAAACACAGCGGGTGGGTTACTGATTAATTTTCATTAACTCAAAACGGAATGAAGTATCATACAATATGTTTTATTTTCTAATCATTAAACTTGCCATGGCAAGTGACATATTAAAATTACAGTTTTACAAAACGCTTCTTGGGACAGTTTGTCACGCTGATAAGCCGTTGGCTGTAAGATAACACTGAACAATATTCCACTTGACAATAACTTTAATATGTAATATATCCCACCACATCCACTTAAGGTTTTGAAAAAAAAAGTTATGTACTTTGTAATACTAACACACCTCACTGTTTATGTTAGGCAAAGTAGTTTGTTACCCGGGCCGCAAAGTCAAGGGATGCGTGTTAGTTATGCTACATCAATCTACGATACGAGCAATATAAGATAACGATTGTAGGTGACCCTCATTATTCTTAATTAACGTTAACTCGCTACTCTTTAGAGTGTTCCTGTTAATAAGTCCTTGCCTAGCAAGCTCCCGATCAAAACACTGTTACACAAAGAGCCTAAACTACGACTCCTTTTTGTTTCCACAAAAATGGTTCAAAATTGTACCTGTCCATTCGTAGAAGTAAATTGTGCAGCGAGGCAATCGACATAGTTCTGACCCGTCATGGATTGCTGGGTCAAGTGCCATGCATACGAACGAAAAAAATCCTGAGCAGTGTTCAATACTACGTTGCGCAATGATTTCACGGGTGAAAAAAAATCAAAGCTCTGTCGAACATAAGTCAGTTTCAATCATGCCCTCTTCGTATCTAAAACCCTCTAACGCCATGAAGCTCCTGTAACTCATGCGAGCGCGCCCGTTCTGCGTATGTTCGCCTGCATTTGAAGAGGGAAAGCTCGTGATGTAGATGTTCGGTGAAACATTTCTATTGGTTGGATTCGTATCAGGTGTCATTAAGGCTTGATTTTGCAACTTTTTAGCGATAGAATTCTCCACATTTAAATTGCTTTTGTCACCTTTGCCGCTAAAAGAATTAGTTCTTCTCAAAGGTTTCTGATGGCAGCTGATATTTCCAGCCGAATCTTTTCGTCCTTGTCTCGTCCCTTGCCTCCAACCCAACAAGCCGCTAAACGACTTGCTGCGTTTCATTCTGCTTCTTTTTGGTTTCTTTGTTTTGTCTACGTGGCCCACTGCCTCACTTATTCCTGCAACACGATATGGGAATGAAGATACTTTAGTTTCCTTGCCCTTTCCGTTTTTCGCAGCGGTAATCCAATCAAAGTTGCCATCCTTGACGCTGTTTTTAGAGCCGTTTCTCTCCAGTGGACCTTGTTTTAGTTTATGGTCGAAGTTCGGACGCGAGTATTTCGCCAAATCGGAACGACTCTTGCGAGAAAGAACTGGTCTGAGGGCAGCTTTGATGGAACTTCTTCGCTCCTTACATTCCACGTCCTCATCCGACTCATTCCTTGAATGCCGTCTTTGTCGCAGTGGATCCGTCGATTCGACTGATGACGAAGCACTACGATTCTCAAAGCTAGCATCCGCAGAGAAAGCATTCTCCGGTTGATCCTCTAATCCTCCTTTGGCTGGTAATTCATCCGTGGAGCTAAAAACATCGCTATCACTTTCCGACGTTGATCTATTTCGTCTCCGAAGTCCAAGTTTGGAAATTTCCTGTCCAAGACGGCGCATTGCAGATGTCATAACTGAGCAGTTCTTTTGTGTAATCCTCTGCTTCTCATTTCATCTTCCATTCAAGCACAGGGCAGAACTGAAGCACTGCCAAATTAATAAAATTACCGCACTGACCTTGGCTAAGTGTATGTAGGATCCTGTTTATATTGTACACTACTGATCACCCAAGTGTTTTCATAGGATCCGCAACCGGATAGATTTCCTAACTTGCACAGTTCTCAATCCAGCTGGATCTCCTTTTCATTTTCGTCTTCCGGTCAGTTTTACCCTGTGAAAATTTACACTTGTCTTTGCAAATTCCTTGTTTTTGACTGCCTTCACTCGAAATGCAGACAAATGAGACAATGCGCGTGAACAGCAGGTTTTCCGTGGGTGGTTATTCGATCAGCCAATGCCACGAGAGTGTATTGTGTTTCGTGACGCACTGCGGGCTGTTATCGGCTTTGCACACCCTGATCAGTTTTCAATTCCTTTCTTTTAATTTTACCCGTGCAGAGGTTCTTTTTGGCTAGTCACGCAATCATTGCCAAGGAGGAACGATTGCGTGACGAGCTATTTTGTCTTATCGCGTGACAAAATTCTTAGAAAGTGATAATCAATAGTTACAGGTGATGAGCTGCTAATTCTATACTGACTGAATTTTTGTCCGTTTCTTTTAATACAGGCTTGAACGATTTTTTTCTCTTTAATTTGAGTATTTCAAAAGAAAGATTACTGCTCGACACTTTGCGGGTTCTGGTTTTGTGGATTCGGATGCTGGATGATCCACAAAACTAACTTCTCGCAAAGAAAACTACCGCACAAAAATAATCCGCAAAAAATAAACCTCAAGGTCGAAAACCACAATGTTATATCTTACATATATTGAGTAATCGTTGTAAATCGTGATCCCTGATCGCGCAAAATTAGACTCAACCAAGAGTGAATTCTCTCTTGGCTCAACTCGATCCTAAATCGAAAGTTCAGTAAACCGTAAATAGCTCAATTAATTACTGCCAGATAAACGCGAATTGAATTAAAAGCAAAATAGAAAGCTTGTCTATTTCGTGTATGCTTTAAATAAAAGTATATGCTTTGGGTACAATTTCTAAGAATCGCAACCCGACCAGTCGCAAAAATCAGTTCCCTCAAAATAATTAAATAATAAAAAATCAAAAATTGGTAACTAAGATTTAACTCACGCAAAAAGTGCGAGGAACGGTAAACTTAACCAACAATCGGGTGTACTTTCGGAAATGTTTAGAAGTGTTTTGTTTAAAGGCGATCATGAATGTTTTTCTGGTTTGTGCTCACATGCCTTCCAAAACTTTCCGCAGTAAAACAGTGATGTAGACACCAGAGCTGACACAAACAAAACCGGCTTAGTGGGCGGCTTTGTTAGAGTCTTGATAAACACTGCATTTAAATAACCGGCTTTCGGAGGTAGGGTGTTCACGTACGTCACGCGATTCCAGCGTAGAATAAAACTGACACGTGCCATAGCCGTAAGATTAGAAGTTGCACGACACGATTAAGAACTTCCTTGATAGATATTTGCAATACTCTCACGATCTCTACTCTACGAGGAAGACGATTATCATTTTATCTGTTTTGGTCAACATAGCGCCAGTTGCCTTTGACGTTCAAGCCCAGGGGGGAAAGCGGAATGTTTCCTTTAAGTCTTTTATGTGGGGGCTCCGCCCGAAAGGGACACCTTTCTAAGTCTAAATATAAAAGAAAAGACGGCATTTCTTCACGAGTTGAAGTCTATGAAAGGGGAAGGGAAATCTGTCATTTTACTATTTAAAATGACCTTTTATTAAAATATTTCGAGGAGAAGGGGCCTTATGGCTGTATCCTTAATGTTCTCCCATATTACGTTCATTAAGTACAGTTCATTCCAAGGCAGCGTTTTTACGAAGGTATTTGAAAGGGGTGGCATCTTAAATGGCGGCTATTCGAAAGGGGTACCTCAGGCTTTTCTCTCCAAAAGGATATTTAAAAGGGTAAGGGTTTGTACATAGGAACGGAGCCTCCCAATATACAACGTTGATGAAACCCCCCTCCCCTGGCCTCTCCCCCAGTGTTCAAGGACGTTCAAGAGGAAGAAGGTTCCAGGGGGACTGAAGATGGTGAAACGATGTTGGAACTTTTTTAAATTCCCTTTAATAAAGTGGAAAGTAATTCTTGTCCAAAACAACTGGAAAATCAAGAACCCCTCGTTTCAAAGATGGGGAAATGAAAAAACGGATATTCCCTTTCGGGGGAAGCCTGGATTTCAAGCTAGTTCCAGTCCTCTCGAGAATATGCCGTGGTATATTCGATTCTTACTGCACATTAATGGTTCGTCATGATGGCAATTCTTTCTACGAACCGGTCTGTTAATTTTTGGATCGTGATCAAAAGACCAAATCGTTATAGGTGAATTCCTCAAAAGTGAAATAATTTAATTTTGAAAGAATTTTGAGTTCTCCATGCATTTCTGACCTTCAGACGGTCAGACGTTCAAGACTTCTTCAAAACATACACAGTGCCGTTTGTTCGCTGTTGAAAGGAACTTTTAACGTTTTTCGCCACTTCTGAACTTGGATTTCCTCCAGCACGCTAACTGTTGTTGGTCAAAGCTAATGACGTAATCATGAAGTGAGACGAGTCTGAAAGAGCGATACTGCGGAGAAATAATCTTTATAAGTTAATTGATGCCTGTAAAAATCCCAGAAAGGGCAAGAATGGAATCGTATGCGAGTAGTAAATTAGCTCCGAATTGACAACAATAATCAGTGTCACATCATAGTAAAATATTTTGAATCTCTACTAGTATTTAATAGTCCTGAAATGTCTGAGCTAAATGGGCAGGTGTTAATTCGGCTTATAATTTTTTTTTCTTTCGAGAATCATGTAAGTGGCTTTAAACAGTCGATTCTCGTGGTATTCTCGGGTCGTTCGTTCAAAGGAAGTCTTGAGGAGTGGCTATTCAAGGTCAAGTCTCTTTTGTAGAACTATTCTGAACTATATAATAGTACTGTTTTGTTTTAGGGACTTCAAATGAAAATGATTTTTTAGACAAGATAATTTAAATTAGCCTCCACTGACTGAGTGGGAAGGTTCTATTGTATCTTCTAAAAAACCGGAGGTAAAAATTGCCTTTTTAATTGTTATCTTTTAACAATCGTGGATATTCATATAAATACTATGAACTTTAATGAGCAGTACGTTTTTGTAACTAATGCTGTTGAAGGTTGGTTGACTTTTTTTCGAAGTTTGGACCAGTATAGATTAGTGTGAGCCGTATTTAAATGAAATCTATCCTACTCTGACTGTTTCAGTTACGTAGACAGATAACTGAACCATTCGTACAACGATAAGGCCAACCTATAAATGAACGATCTTTCCAAAAGTTGCCAAGGAATAGTATACCAAAAAAAAATTAGTTTCCCGCCTTTTTCTCGAATCTTATATCGGCGTTCCTGAAATCTCCCACCTTCCTCCCCGACGCACTGGTATCCAATAATGAATATATATAGTAAATTTAATACGAAGTTCATGGCTTCGAGGAGATAATTATAGCTAGGGGGAAAGTTCCGGTTTGGATTCGTGGTTTTTTTTTAATCTAACAAAGCGCCTTATTGTAATAAATGTCATTAGGTATTTTGGAACCATGACCTCTATCAACCTAGCCCGTAAATTTAATCAAACGGAATTATCCGTATACACTTAATTTTACATTACCAAATTAAACTATGATATTTCTGGTCGTATTTTAAGTAAAACACAAATAAACGAGATTATGATTAGGTACGAGGAAGATTCGAGAAAGCGAAGAGTTTGCCCTAAAAATGAACAAAATGCAACTTGCTACGATCAGTATTCGCAAAATGCAGAAATACAAAAGAGACTTAGAGCACCACATTTTCCACACGGGATTTAGAGTCAGAGCCACTTGTATAGAGTCATCAGGCTGCAATACTATTTCCCATCATATAGTATAAAATCCCATCTTCCCGGATCTGAGATGAAGCCGAGCGAAGGCCAGAACGCCCCTTTTTCCGGTTCCATCCGTTGATTTGGGAGGTGGGGGGAGAGGGTGTTTTAATTTTCCGTCTATTTTGTCCAAGATTGTAGCACCATAAACAAAACTTCTTCTCGGTAGGATTTCATCCACCGATTCATAATCCGCTCTTCAATCCCGTGCGCATGGTGCAGCAAGATGAACAGTACTACACGGATGTACTGCACAGAAGCGTACTTTGGTCGAACGTACCCTTTAGAAGAGACTAGACAGAACCACCAACAACACTCAGTGTTTCCATCAAAAGTCTTGAGGCTACGGTTTCTCTCGCATATCACACATCTTAGACGCTTCCTTAGACTGACGGAGTATTGAGAGCAGAAGACGATAACTTTTCTCATTCTCCCATTCGCCCATACCGCCATTTAATACGCCTGCCATTGTAGACCGCGCTTATGTTCAGTATAGTAGCATAAAAAGATTCCCCGGCAGAGCTTTACAATGAAGTAGCTATTGCTATACAATCCCACTTTACCCTGCGCTTAAAAATAACGGCTAAGGATATTTCAGACACAATTTAGCTTTATTGCTACGAGACATCCTTTTGCAGTCAGTCCTTTCCTATATCTTACTACCCCACTTCTTTTACTATAATACGCATTACGAAAATTGTAAGAAATGCCGGACTCTCTGTGCAGTATCATTGCCAGTTCACTAAAAAAAATGCCGGCTCTCCTTGGAAGGTCATAACGTCGAGGCTATGACGTAACAATTTTTTTTTCACTGCGCGGTTGATAGTGCTATCAGAATTATGTGAAATTGTTGATCTACTAACCACAGAGTCGATCCGCCGGAACCCATTTTCATTTCTTCACAATTAACGCATCAAGATCATATTGTCTGACCTTGACTTTCTATCATCACTCTGTAATCACTCGAGGTTACGCCATCTTAAAAGGCGATTACCCTGCAGGCATGAATGAAAGATATAGGATCAGAAGGCTATTGATAGACAACAACAACAACAATAAGCTTTATTTGCATGACCATAACAAAGTATTACAGTATTGCAAAAGCTACTTGAAATTAACCATTGATTCCTTGTAAATTAAATATTTAAAATAATTTGAAACTTATTTATCATTGTTTATTTCTAACCATCAGTAGGATTAATAGGATGCGTTAAATTGGTTTACCTTGTATACGTACAATACACTGGGAGCTGAAAGCCTTTTCCATCCATGCTTGAAAGACCAATAGAGAACTGCATGCATCGAGCTATTTGCCACGGTCCTTCAACGAAGTAATTAATTTTAGAGTTAATCCTTCTTTTACAAAACTGTCAATCAAAATCAGCCAAAGAATAAGAAATACTAACGAAAATGATTCCACATTCCTAGCCTGAAAACCGTTGTATTTTGCAGTGCGAACGATGTTCTCCCGCCATCTTGGACGTTGAAACTGACAGAGAGTTGGTGCGAGTCAAAAAATGATTCCAAGGGAGATGTTGACGGGTCAAAATCTAATATCACCAAGACAGAAAGTTCCACTTCTGCATTTTACTTTAAAAAGTCCTTAAACTAAGGGATATGAAAGTAAGGAAAGTAAACTTCTAGAGGACAAAAACCCCAACAGCTAAACTTAGAGCTTAACTTTTCAACGTTTTCAAAGACCAGAGAAAAAGGTGACGACATGTTTGGAACCATATCTCTCGCCCGAAAAAAAGGAAATCCAGGACAGTCTTGGATTCTAGATTCCACGCCTTGAATTCCGGATTCCAGATATTCCAAATCTTTGTCAGCGGAACTTGGATTCTGGATTTCATTCGTCAGTGGGATTCCGGGTTCCAAATTACCCTGATTCCGAAATCCGAATTACATGGGGCAAATATCGCAGCATACAAAAGAACATATACACATATACACAGCCATATACACTTTCCTTTGGTAACCATAGTTTCCGACAGAAGTTCCCGTCCTAAGTTCCTGGCTGATATCTTAAGGCCTTCTGAGTGAGTTTTTCAGAAGATCGTGTAAAGAACAGCGCCGGAACTCCCCTGTCAAGATGAAAGACATTTAGGTTACTCGTTGAGTAGGTTGCTTCCGGCGACGTTCCACCTGCCTACCTCAGAATCCCTCCCATGCGTACGCAGAGATTTGCCGACCTCGTGGAAGGCAGTTCCTCGGACATGTACCATATCATCACATCATTCCATGTTACAGTGTGATGTTCTCGGCTGTTTCACCAGCATCCATGTTTGAATTTCCACGTTTTAAGCCAACCTAGACTCGGTTTTGCTTTGTCAAACACTTTTATTAACTAAGCTTCAAATTTATGATATTTTTACGGGCCTTTATCCGAGCTCACGCAGTCCTGAGCTTCATCAGTGCATTTCACGCAGTAGAGAGTTACACACACTAAGTCATCATCTATTGGAAAAGCCGACTGCTATTTCCGAACAGGTGAGCGCATCGGACAGGGTAACAGTTATATCTAAAGGAAGACAGTGAGTCACTGATCCTGTAGCCTGTACCAGACTCTCAGACAGAAGAGGCGTCGCCAAGATGCGCGTGATTTGGGAAATCCGCGCGTCAGTGTTCACATCAGTTTTAGCGATCTCTGCACATTACTTTATATCTTCCAGCATGGAGCAGGCCTGGTAACGTGTGCCCTCCACCCAAGGTAACAGTTCACTAACAGTTCCACCAAAGTCATTTCCTAGAGGAAAATGGTAAGCTGTTGTTCCTGGCCATGTATGCACTGTTTTATAACATAGTCATTATATTCAATCCGCAGTCCACAGTCCGCAGTCCACGTTTTATACTGACCGACTTTATTACATGAAGTAGTAACCACATTGGCCACAGCTAATGTCAGTTTTCTCCTCGTCTGTCTGTCGAAGTCGTTCTCGAGGATTTCTACCATATATTTTATTGACTCTCGGGCAAACCTGTACCTACTGTAAAGCTCTTCGTCAGTGAATTGGTCGAGATCAATTTCTCGCTGTCGAAACGTTTTTCCACGTATTCGTGTCAACGGTGAGTCCGCCATTTTGTTTGTTTTTTACAACTTTTTCGCCCGAGTAGTGAGTTAATCGACCTCGCTAAGTGGGTTAAATTTAATACGTAGTTTATTCCTAGATTAAGTTTAATCGTGCTTTCAGGAACAGAATCTAATCGAGGGATAAAATTTATTCGCGATTAGCGAGATTTAATCCTCGATCAGCGCTAATCGGCTTTCCAGGAACACGGGTAGGGTTTTTACCAACGAGAACCCTACATTACCAACAGTAGGGCAGTGTGAATTCCCTGATATGCCAAACATTGCTATCGACCATCATGGTGCCATGAAAGTCCTTGAGAGAATCAACCTATCCAAACCAACTGGCCCTGGTCTCATCCCTGCGCGCCTACTGAAAGAGGCTGTACCGGCTATACCTCCGTTTATTACTTATATATTCCAACAATCAATAGTGGCACCGTCCTCAGGGACCGGGTAACTGCAAACATAACAGCAATATACAAGAAGGGATCTAAGCTAGAGGTAGCAAACTATCGCCCAGTGTTATTAACATCAATCCCTTGAAAAATTCTGGAGCACATAGTATTCCACCACATCATGGCTCAATAATAAAGGGTTAAATTAACTGCAAAAACCGTGGACGAAGATCCTGCTAGTTGTAAACGTTGGATCTCTAGAAAAGAGATCTAATCAGCCAAAATATAGAGAACCAAAAACGAGAAGTCCAAAGGCTACTGCAAAGCTGGTTCAGAACAACGTGTATTGTTTTTTATAAAACAATATTTCGCTTGGCCATACCAGCCTTCTTCAGGTTTACAGATGTTACTGAACTTATGTAGGAATTACAATATTATATAGATGGAGAATGTCGCAATAAAAATTGTTTAAAAGGGAGAGGCGGAAATGACGTACCATAGAAAAACTGGCAAGGAAAAATACTAAGGATATGGATTACAATAATTCGTCACGGCGGTTTAGGCCATGAGGTTCAAGAGTCATGGCCTTATCTATCAAATGCGACTTCCTGGCCTTACGAACTGAGTCACGTGAAGAATTAATTTTCTTTACCAGCATGGCTTTAGACAGCATCGTTCATGTGAGACTTGAGCATCTAGCCCGATCACTTAACTACAGAACGCAAACAGACCTGTTGATATTAGATTTCTCCAAGGCATTTGACAGTGTTGCGCACAAGCCATGGCTAGCTCCTTGAGCCCGATGACTATGGTATTCGCGGGCAAACTTTGGATTTGCCTGCAGGCATGGCCAGTAAATAGAACCCAAAACGTGGTCCTCGAGGGCTGCTCAAGTACTGAAGCTTAAGTCCTATCAGGAGTCCCCCCAGGAACTGTTCTTGGACTCGTATGCTTCCTACTTTAGGTGAATGAAATGTGCATGCTAGCAATATATCATTACACTTAAAATTATTTGCTAATAACACCCTCCTGTATGCAGTAATACACGGCCAAGCTGATGCACTAAGTTTACAGAGTGGCCTGGACCAACTCGTAGCCTGGTCTCAAATCTGGCAAATTCATTTCCTTCCCGCTCTAAGTGCTACCTTATTCTCCTTCATTTGCGCGGGTTCTTAAATTCGCGATTTTCGCGATTTTAAAAAATTCGCAAACTTAAAGACCCGCGAAAAGTAACGACCGCGAACTTTGATCTCGCGAAATTTAATGGACATAGAAAATCATGTATTTGTGTTTTCAAGGGTCCTAAACAATTTTTAACACAAGGTGTTAGTACAAGGAGCTATCATGTCTCAACTTTAGATGTTACTTTTTAAAATTTTTAAAAATTTTTCAAATTTTTCAAACTAAACTAGTGAGCAGCACTCTGCGAACTGTTGCTGTAAAACTTGTTTATTACTAATTTTAGCTAAAACCGTGGCCCTGAAGTTTTCTCACGCCTTGCGTAAAAAAATTTCAGAGCTGCGCCTGTTCCTTTTCGTAAATCCGGCCAAACCGTCAATGTTTGCGACCATCATTATTTTTAGTCATATTATGGCTTAAATACAGGCGTTTAGTACTTGATTGTAAAACTCCCTGAAGAAGTCTACGTTAGTTAGACGAAACGCGTAGGAGAATAAATAAATTTTACAACAACAGTTCGCAGAGTGCTGCTCACTAGTTTAGTTTTGAAAATTTTAAAAACTGTCACATCGCTAAAGGGTGGGAAAAGGCTGGCATCGCCCAACTATTAGATGAATCGTTTAGTCTTCCCCCTGAGAATCCATTTGAAGAGACTGAAGGTTCTATTGAGATCTCCTAGAAAGGACATGTAACGATACTCTCGATACTCGATGATGACTCGGAAGAACAAGAAGATTTTTGTTATTACTGTAAGACTGACTTTTAGAGGAATACGGCTGCCGCTAAGGGACAGCATATTGGTTTTGTTTCAATTGTTGATTAACGTGCAATTTTTGTAAAAAAGAAAAAATAAAGTCACTTTATCGTCTATTTCGCGAAATTAAATTCCCTGCAAACACAATTTTTCTCCCCGATCGCGAAATTAAAGACTCGCGAAATGTGGCGAGAAAATTTTCGCGAAATTTAAGTCCCGCGAAAATAAAGGAGAATAAGGTATATGTTGCGTATTCATCGATCCAAAAACCCCATTGCCCATCAATATACCATTTTTGAAAAAAATTTCATTTGCTTGAAACAACAATAATTACAAATACAAGTTCTTTTATCTATTTATTTACCATCAATATACCATGCTAAACCAGATTCTCGAAGTGGTGGACCACCAGGCATACTTAGGGATTACCATCACTGAAACGCTAATTGGAAAACGCACATTTAAATGTGAAGAACAAAGCCAATAAGACACTAGGATTCATCAAAAGAAATCTTCACTCTTGCCCAGAGAGAATCCAGGCTCAGGCATATGTATCACTGGTTAGACCCACATTAGAATATGCTTGTGCATCATGGGACCTATACAGAATGGACCTACTAGAGCAAGTTCAGAGACGGGCTGCTCGTTTTGTGACCAAGACTTATTTAAGAGATGAGTGCTGTGTCTCCCAAGACAACTATTCTACTATTTACATCGGCCAACCACAGGAGGCGAATAGTAAGGCTATGCATGCTCTACAAAACACTAAACAACGAAGCAGAAATTACTGTTCCGACCTATGTCCAGCATCAGAAACTCCAAGCAACATGTGATGCGTGCAAGTTCAGCTTTTGGCCGCTCACGATAAAAGATGGGAACAGTTTGCATGTGGACATTATACAATCAATCGAACTCAATTAACTGTTTCAAAAGAGCTCTGGGCTCCGCCCTAATGAATGAGTAAACTGTTTTTAATTATTTAAATATCGTTATTTTTCATAATGTTTATTTATTTATTAATTTATATTTTTTAAGTCACTTACGAAATGTCCTTATTCAGAATGTTGCAAGAATGTAGATGTAGATGCATGTGAATCAGACGGGGGAACGGTTCTTTCTACTAGAGTCGTCATCTACAGGAAGAAGAAGCAACAGACCTGTATTTTTCTTTATATCAGTCTTATCTCGCTTAATGTAGCCTGAGAAAACAGCCTGCATTTCGCGGACGCGACCACTGATTTCCCCTCGAAATTGACGAGAAACGAGCGCAGTAATTCCACTAAGGTGGTTAGTGCTTCTGATTGATCCTGCCGCGGGGGAAATTTTCTTCGACCAATCAGAAACAGGGAAATCCAGGATTTTATCACTGTTATCCCAGGCCTTTAAACGTGAAAAGTAATATTTTGAACTCAATGTAACAGGTTTAAATTTACTTAAAAACAGTCTTTAATTAGCTTTTCAAAAAACCGCAAAATGTATCCGCAGTATTAACATAATTAGGTTATGTTATGGTTGTTAGGTTTGGTTTTGCAACTGACCCCACGGCAGCCATGTTTGGTTACAAAACTCGCTTTCCATGAATTCTCCGTAGCTCAAGTGGATAGAGCGCTCGCCCGGTGTTTGGGAGGTCATGGGTTCGAATCCTGTCGGGGCACTCAGATTTTTTCTTTGTCCCACGCTCGTGACATGCTGATTAATTCATTTTCAGAAAAACAAAATGGTTTCCGTGGAAACTTAAATCTTGTTCATGCAAATTCTGCGTAACAAAAATTGCACTGTGTCGTCATCCAACATGGCCGCCATGTCACATGGTAACAAACCAAGGATATGAAAATTTCAGCAAAGCAACTGCGCAAGTTGGTGGGTTGTGATTTTGTGCGTAAGATCCTCCAGACTGTTTGATGCTTAATTATCCATTTTACTCCGGTGCCGAATTCACTTTGATCTCCAACTCGTTTTCTACTTTCAACATTTCTTATTCTAAACACTGCAATATTTACATAAACGTATGGAATGTTTTCTTTATTTTCACTTACACAAAACACTGTCTCTTTATCTATTTAATTATCTTCATTAAAATTAATGACTTCAGGTCTTCAACTTTGCAAAACTCCTTGATCCATGACTAAGATATTTGGGCATGAATCGTTTTAACGTTAGTCCTGCATGTTGAATTTAGCTTGGGTTCCTTTTTTTCCCAAGACATTTCATGCACTTTCCTTTTTCAAAATATAATCATTTAGATGGAAATGTTATCTTTATACTCCTATACAAATCACAGCGCTTTAACCCTTTGACAATTAGGTCGTAGTAATATCTTAAGTGTTATCACGTGCTCTTACTTTTTAACAAATTGAAGTCGGAATTTTATACCCTAATAGTGTGTAATTTGTATATAAGCTCTGCAGCAGGTATACCCTGTGGTGTTGAGATATTTCACTTATTAATTGTGCGCAAAGTTTTTTGTTTTCTAAGTTAATTATAGCTCCCTTTGAGAGCAGAAGACAGCCAGCTCAGACAGAATTCATTAATGACCACAGCACAAAAATCACTCCAAAGCTAAACACGTCCGTTAGATGGTTCACTGACCTAATCGATACTGAATGGGCGGTGAACAGTGGTAAAGGAAAAAAGCCGCTATTTATCTGCATAGCATGGTTTTGACATCTTAGCCGAGTCAGTCGTACAAATGTAACTCTTTAAACCTACATGGAATTGCTGCAAAATCAGAAAATTGGTCATCGGTCGATAATTGGCGAAAAAATCCGACGTGTAAGCGACGCTTGGGTAGGCTGACATAACAATTTGTCTAGGAAGGATAATAATAACGTGGTGAGGACAAGCTAATAGGAGACAGATATCAAGAAAACAAAGTCATGAACGGCACTGTCATACATCCTGGTGATAAAGTAACGGTTACTCTCACTTTTAACGACGAAAAAGATCTAAAAAACAACAATTTGCCCAACAAAAATGAAAAGCAGATTCAACGGAGCAAAACATTACCCGAAGGATCAAAACAGAGAGAACAGGAAAACCACAAGACTAAGGATGGAAAACAACTTCAACGACCAACACTAACCTCGCGAAGAAGCAGCTCATTGCTGAGTTTGAACATAGAGGGACTCTTGATTGTTCCAGAGTTGGAAAAGAGACTTAGAAGAAACTCGTACGGTGGCGTTTCAGCCAACGAAGCACAGAAGGCAGCTGAGAAGGAAACGGCTGTTGACCCTTCAGACGGAATGCTCACTACCTCGCTTTGTTCAACTGAGCTTTGATGATTCAGTAAGACTATGTAAAAGGAATGCATATCAAGGAGCGAACTGTGTGACTGTAGAGAAAAGATTATTTTCAAGTCCTTACTTTAGAATATAGTTTAAAGACATTCTTGCACAATTTAAAATATTAACTTCAGTGCCACAGCCAGAGTCTCAACTGGATACTCGATTTTCATTTGAATGGGTAGTGGTTAATGTTCCGTCTGCAATAAGAAACCGGTCTATTTTTTCCACTATGGAAGCGAGGGTACATTCAATTTAAAAATATTGAACAACTCAAGTAATTGCATAAGAAGCTTCCCTGTTTTGAAACATTCGTGCACTTTGGAAAAGTAGAAATAAATTCAAATGGAGATCTGCATGGTAGCTTCCAGTAACACAATTGAGTTAAATTTTGCTGAGTAGTTCTGGTATTTTGACTGTTTGTTTTACATGTGCTAGTTACGTCTGCACTTCACCAGTCTAGTGCTACGACTACAATAACTGCATCCAGCGAGAAAACAGTTGAGATATGATCCCATTAGTTCTGTTGTCTAACTAAATATGACTGATGACATTGCAAAAGGAGCACTGAAGCCGTTTGCATTTTGCCGAAATAAAGTAAGTGTAGCGTCTATCTGATTTCATTATTTCGTTTTGATGGCAAGTAACCGTGGCGATTTACAATTTGACTTCCAATCAGTCTGTCGGATGATCCGTTTGCATTTTCAAAGCTGAGTTTGCTTACGGGGGGCTCAGTCGAGATTCCAGTCAATGATTTAAAAGCTGACCGTAAACACTGCCCTGAGCAATTGATCAGAGCACGTTACGTCAAGGGCAATTAAGTTACTTCAGCTTTACTTAAATGTGAGTGAATATGAGTGAATATCATAGACTCTGCGTCCTTGATTTGTTAAATTTGTTGCTCGTCATGTACCGTACTATTTTGAAATTGTTTATGTTCAGTACTAAGAACAGTATTAAATTAGACAATTTGGGGGTTAGTAAGGCCAAACATGGCCTTGTAAGTAATTTGTTGTAGGTTAGTCTTAGAAACGAGTCCCGCTGGGCAACCGGGTTTTTCAAAATGGCGATAAATTAGACAAATAGATAACTTCACATTGGGGGGCACTTCTTGATGTGTGGGACAACAAAAGAAGTACCCTTGAGTGCTCTTGAACTGGATATAAACAGTTTTACGTAGATTTACACACAGATATGTTGTGCACTTAATAGTCAGCTGTTTGCTAGACAATACGAAAACAGAGTAATAATTCAGAAAAACTCTGCCTTTTATAATTTTCTTGCCAAAATGCTGATGAACATGGTAACATATTCTACCCTATAATAACATACGGTCTGATAATTCCCCTTATCATTTTCTACACACGTTGCTTTCTTCATATCAGAGATTTGGCATGTTTTTCTAAGCTAAAGAAAGAACAGTTTGTTTTGGCAAGAACTAACCATAGTAATAATTTAGGCTAAATGGCTTAAATAATTCTTTGTTTCCTTGGCTTGAAAAATACAATGATGATGTTAAGTAATTATAGGTTACGTCATAAAGCAAAATGGACCCATTTGGAAACAGCATGTGGTTTTTCTAATCAGTATTTTGTAGAATACTTTGTTTACTAGCACCTTAGTAGACATAGATAAGGAAGATAAGATACTTGTTACGGGGGACGAAGCATTGTGCCGTAAATTCTGTAGGCTGATGTAGATTTTGAATATTGCTGTCCAATGCAGATAAGCTTTACTATGTTACTGAAAATAATTGACTGAAATGAAGTTTATTTGAAGGTATCAATTTTGAATTCATTTGTCGTAAGATAATGTTACTCTGTAACCATTTCGAAGTTATGCTCAGCGAACGAGTGTCAGCATTAAAGCAGCGACGTTTTTCAGCGACGCATGTCAAGCGGAAGTGGACTTTTTGCACACTTGAGCTCTGATTTTGAACAAAATTTAAGGCAAATCGTCTTTCTAAGAGTGAAGACACTTAGCCATACAAATTTGGTGGCGTCAAGGTATATGAAAGGAGAAAAAAGCTCAAAAAAAGCTGAAGCACTTGCTCAGTGCTTTTAAAAGCTCTCCAATATAAAGGGTTACGTCACACTATTGAATTACTAACTTTTTTAAAAGCTAAAATGTGTCTTTGCATCAATTGAATTCTAAAAATAATGGTCCATTTTTGTTATGTAAGACTATATTTATGCATTGAAACTGTTTCCTGTTGTCTGTTTCAACGGATGACAAGGATGGACATGGATTAAAACTTGAAAAAGTTGGGCCGTTGTTTCAAGTTTTAATCACTGAAAACAAGTATGATAGTTAGTGCTCCCTGATGAAATTTGTTTGATAAAAAAATGCACTTCATTTGAGTGTTAATGTATTTAGCACGAAAGTACTAATTGGGACACTATATTTTACGTCTCCAACTGGAGACGGGACCGCCATTTTACGTGGTCATCCAAGCCACGCGAAGGTCTAGCCGCTTGTAGTGCAAAGGGAGTACCTTCATTTCTCAGTTATTTTAAGACCCTGAGTATTGGTCTGGCCCTGGGAATCAAACCTGCAACCTCCTGCTCTGTAGTGAAGCGCTCGACCGACTGAGCTCATCCTGCCTCGGTTTGATATCTTCGTTATAACTCTGCAGGCCCAGCATTTTATGAATGGGTAAAGTCACTAAGTAAATTCAGCGAAGAATTGACCTAAAAAAGCAATATCCCCGTAGCACCTTTCACATCGTTTCATCATTCGGTGTCGGGAATCGGTATCAGATTATCGACATGAATATTGACCATTCCATTCGGTTAACTTTCGGTTGCGGTGCGTGCAAACGACGATCAAAAAGGCAAGTCTATGTACACGCACAAGTTGCCACTGAGCTCAGCGTTAAGCTATGTCTGTTAAAAGACGGACATTAGATCGCCTAATCAAACTTCAATCCATCAGGAGAGGTGTCGGCTGCTAGAAAATCGGAGAACATGTCTGAAGACGGAAAGGACCAACTTAAATTGTCCGTATTAATGAGCGGTGTTTCCATCATAAGATGAGTGGGTTTGATAAACACGACGCAACTTTTACTCCATTGTGTCGTAGGCTAATGACAAACAGTCAGGGGTGGGGTAAGTAATACTCACCAGAATAACTAAATAATTGGCTATTGAAGAGTACTATATAACTCCTCTGATTGTTGATTGCCATTAAGAGAGTACACGACCCATACAAGATCAGCAGTGGAAACAGCAGCAAAAAAGCAATCTTGGAAGGTCGAAGCAAGGAAGAGCGCTTTATGTTTTCAAAATACTGCTTGGTGCTGAATCAAAGTTAAATAAGGAGAACGAAGAAATAACAATTATAATCGAGGGTCTGCATCACCCAACTGGACCATACAGCATTCCTGAATTAGAAAGAGCAAAATCTAAGATAGTTGAAGGAAAAGCAGCTGGACCTGATAATATCCCGCCTGAAGTAATTAAGCGATGTGATTTGGATGATATCCGTACTGGACTTTGCCAATAGCCTCCTCATCAGAGGAGACAAACCAAACCAATGGTCAAGGAGCAATATCATTCCTATCGTAGATAAATTTACCAACCGTCTTATACTGAATAGAATTCAACCAGTTTTAGACCAGCATCTGCGCCCGAACCAGAATGGCTTCAGACCAGGCATGCACTTAGATCAACCACCTTCCAGATATTACTGAGCTCTCCGAAGACTTATTGGGGTAGTCAAGGCCAACAACCTAACCGCAGTAATTCTTTTTCTCGATTTTCCAAGGGCTTTCGACAGCCTTCATCGTGAAAAAATGCTGCGAATCCTCAAGGCATATAGCATACCTGAGGAACTTGTGAACGCAGTTGTAAAGATGTATGCATGAGAACACTCAGGCATGTGTCCTGTCGCCAGATGGTGAAACAGACTGGTTTGAAATCACAGCGGGGGTATTGCAGGGCGACACTCTTGCCGCACACCCTCCTTGACCAAGCGATGATCGAGGCAAACATTAAAAGCACATGGCAATCCTACCGGCTTTACGGTTGAACCAAGAAAGAGCAAACGACACCCACCCATCACAGTTAGCGATCTAGACTTTGCCGATGATATAGCGTTGATACTCGGACACATTGATGAAGCACAGAGTCTGCTACTACTTGTAGAGAATTCGGTCGCAAATGTTGGACTACATCTAAATACAGTTAAAAGTCAGGCAATCCTCTACAATCAAGACCCAATAGTAACTGAAACCAAAAGCAATGACTCAATGCAATAAGAACAGTGGCTGATCTTAAATATCTAGATTCTTGGATTGATGATTCTATCAAACACATGAAAACTAGAAAAGTTCAAGCTTGGGTGACGTACGATAAGTTGTGCAAAATTTGGAAATATATCCTGTGTAGGGAATTAAAAGTTAAAACCAAAAGTACAGAAAGGCAAAATGATGGTGCCTATACTAGAATGCTTCGCACAGCACTAAACGTTTCTTGGACGGACCACATTACAAATGAAGGTCTGTATTAGATGATGGATATCCAATCCTCTGTGCCGGAGTAGGTTGTGTTAGACATAAAGAGGAGAAGGCATTGAAGTTTGTGTTGTGGCATGCGGCCACAACACGGACAAACTAAGAGAAGAAGACCTAAGACCACGTACATACACACTTTGCTTGAGGACACCGGGTTCGCCACTATCGGAGAACTCAGAACGGCAATGCTAGACCAGGACTGGAGAGGGAGAATCCATGTTTTCTAAGCTAAAGCTCGGCCAAACTAAACTAACTTTGACCCATACAAGTGGCTCCGTCTTTTTAGTCTGGATACAATTCACCGAAATGAAAACTAAAGGTTCGAAATTCTTTCCCTGGGGTGCTGAGGTCATTTCATAATTATGTAATGTAAAATTTTTTATGCATTATGTTGCACCTTTTACTCCAACAAAGACAATCTTCCTAGTTCCAGATATAATGTTCTTGTTGAGCTTCTTCGCCTCTTTCCCTTAAAGAACTTTTA